ATGCCGAATCCGGGAGATGGAGTGTTGGTCGAAGTGGGGTTGAGGTCTGTCGGTGTCGTCGTAAGATGGAAATTTGCAAATTCATGATATGCTCAGCAGTTGACCAGGCGAAGGCATCGATCGGATGAGCTTGACAGAGTCGACAACCATCACGACCACTAAAACAGCAATGCCGGCTACCATCGACCTATTACAATCTTTTGACCTTCAACAGCAACTCAGGCAAATCAGCTTATAAGGACTCACCAACCCAGAAGAAAGAAATCTAGTATCGCCTCGACCAAAGGGTCTCTATCTCAGGAATTTCCGAAATAAAACGAAAGTACGGTTGACCGGTAGCGCACGCATTTTATTCAAGCACGTCTGATGTCTCCCAATGCCGATGTCAGCGAGCCTCTTGTGCCAGAATCGATCCCAGTCGAAGAGCCTATAGTAGTAGACGAACGGGACGAGCATTCTGCGTCCGAACGATACGAGACAGATGTGAGTGAGTCAAATACCTCGTTCGTTTTACTCTTTCTTTTTTTTTGTTTTATTCAGAAACACGACTGACTGGTGGTACCTTTGAAAATGAAATGTCGGGCTAGGGCGAGCAAAGCACTAATGTCGAATCAATACCACCCAAAGCCATCTCGGGCCCACCGACGGGAGAAGCCGAAGCGAAGCCTCGACTCTTAAGCACCCATATCGATTCGGCCACTGTAGCCATTCCGCCGGTCTTCCAACCTCTCCCCTCCTTCTTCCCGCCCGATTTCTTCGCCACTCGCTCCCACCCATGGAACCGATCCGGCTTCAGATACCTGGCCTGTGGGCCGCCGGTCGACCAACAACATCAGGACGTGGACTATCCGGTTCATTATACCATCGAAACCGCGCCCCCAGGACTGGTGAAATGGTCCTGGGAAGATCGCAGCAGCTATGTGTACGTGACCAAGGACGGCTTGTCGGTTACCACCGATAGAGGCTTTCGATCGGCCCGGGCGAATCTGCCAATCAGAGAGGGACAGTGGTACTTTGAAATCAGCATCGTTCGTGCCGGTGGAGAGATCAATCAAGGCGCCCGATCCGAGCCAGAGGAAGCCCACGTCCGGGTAGGCATAGCCAGGAGGGAGTCTGGCTTAAACGCGCCCCTAGGGATCGATGGGTATTCCTACGGAATTAGGGACAAGACTGGCGAGAAAGTACATCTATCCCGACCTCAAAAGTACGGCGAACCGTTCGGCTCGGGAGATGTGATCGGGATCCTGATCGATCTTCCCAAGATGCGTCAGCCTCGGGATGGGGATCACGACGATCCGGCGCGGATCGAGCGGAAACGAATCCCGATTCGCTATCGCCGCCAGCTCTATTTCGAGTCGGCCGAATATCCGATCTCTAAGGAGATGGAGGAGCTTGCCGAGTCTGCACTGCCGGCCAAACTGAAATCGAAACAGGAACCTCACAAAGCCACACTGACGAGCGAGACGCCCAAGAAGAAAAGCCTTCCGGGTCAAAAGCAGGTTGAGGACGAGCCCCCCACTTTACCAGCTCTCCCTAGCGGACCACCCTTGCGTCCTTTATCCGTCCTGAAAGGCTCGAAAGTAGCATTCTTCAAGAACGGCGTCTGTCAGGGAGTGGCATTCAGGGATTTGTTGGATTTCTTGCCGTTACGAGTGGACCCAAGTCCTCAAAACAATGGCTCTATGCACCAGCTTGGTGAGGACCAGACAGCAGCAGACTCAAACAACGTCAAGAGCGGAGGGAGGCTGTATGATGATGGTACACTCGGATATTATCCCTGTGTAAGTGTCTACGGAGGAGGAATCGCTCGGCTTAACGCCGGCCCAGAATTCAAGTTCGCCCCGCCAGACTCAGTCAATCATCTGCTCGACGAGGAGGCTGATCTTCCCGAGAAGGATACATCCAACGACTCGACAGGCACGAGTGAAAAAACTTGGAAACCACTGTCGGAACTGTATCCCATTCACCTAGCCGAGCAACGAAGACTAGACGAGCTGGATATAATCGAGGCGCAGAAGCAACTAGCAGAATCCGTCCAACGGGCCAGCCTCGCGCAAGTCGATGTGACCGTGAAACCGAAAGCTACTTCCAAACGCAAACGCGTCAGCTCGCCTTCCTCCAGCGCTGTGGGGAGCTCTGGTACTGCCAAGGGGAAAAAGAAGGGTAAGGTGGGCTCCACCAGCGATGGGCTGCTGCCTCAGACTTTCAAGCCAAGCCCCCTGGGAAATATGGAGATCATCGAAGAACCACAACCCACTCCCTCCACCCAGTCAACCGGCGAGCCTGGAACGGGGACCCATTCTCCTGCTATCGGTTCCAATTAGTCCGTCGATTACCGTAATACCCAATCGCTGCATCCACATCAAAACTCTCATCTCGGAATCACCATAACTATTCAAGGTCAAAAAAAAAAAAATTGATTTGCTCCGCGAGTCATTCGAATCATCTTATCATACTCTCTATCTTCTGTTATTGTGTATTTAAATTTTTTTTTTTCAATCCATCAAGATATATTCTCTCACAAACCATTCTTGGTAGTTTGGATATTTATCACGGAAGGTGTGGCATTAATCAATCTCAAGTAATTCGTGTGAGCTTATTCCAGCCATCAATCAGGCTCACAAAGCCCACGGCTCCCATCCCAAAGCCAGAAATCACAACCCTGACATAAGGATTTCTTTTAGTAATGATCTGCTGAGATGCGAGTCTTGTCATGTTTCAAGAACGATTATCCTTCCATCATGTATCGAATGAATGTGGCTCTACAAGTCGTAAATCCTATATGCTGCTCTGATCCTATGTATTTTATTATCTCTTGTTCTTTGGTCATGCTATTTTTGTCTCCAATCAGATTGGAGTGCCAGGGCGGATCGGGCTTGATCCAAATCTCTTCTCCGCCTGTTTATTTGCCCCTCTGTCTGTAAAATGATCTATTACAGACACATTGTGCGGCTGTTGACCAGAGTCACTTGTTATGATGATGTCTGAATACATTTATTGAAGTATTCTTTTCCCTCAGGATTTTCGTTGATGAATTGCACAAGTCTGACCTGCTCCCAATTTTTACTGCTTTGAACTTCCTTGACTTGTGGTGGTGTGGCAATCAGACTAACCACTTCTTGCTCAGCTCAACCTGCCAGCAAGCTGAAGCAGAATCAGGTTGATATGAATTACTAAATTCTTTGTCAATGTAGTAGTGGTATACGCAACGTGGTACATTTTAAAACACGCAGAATTAGAATTGGCAAGAGTCAAAAAAAGCAATGCATAGATGCAAGTCACCTATGGGTTGGATTTCCACCTCAAGGTTGGTCTTGTTCACAGAAGATGAACCAAAGGGAACTTACTATGAGCAACTAATACTCAAGTCTCGAACAAATTGAGAATCACTGCAACAGTACTGATTAATTGATAGAGGGATACCTTTCATTCACTCAAGAGAAAGTCATAGCCAATGAATTCAGAGAGACAAGACAGAGGGAGGGAAAGAGAAAAGGAAAAAAATGAAAATCTACATGACACAAAACAATAGCATGGGCAGACAAAACCATGTGAAAAAAGAATAGGATGATCATGCGAGATAGCTGGGCATAAATGATCGAAAGAAGAAAAGAGCTAGCCCTCTTACAAAAAAAAAATAGAAGCGAAGGTTATATGCATGTTGTATCTATTGATTTATTTTTTCTAACAAGTTGTGCTCTTTGCACATACCTTGTTTTCGTTTTTCTCTATAGAGAAAGAATATTGATTTTATGTTTAAGAAGGCACGAAGGACACACAAAGAAAAAAAAAAAATAACAAACAAACAACACGATTACAAGTAATATTCCATCCCATCTTTTTTGGTTTTGAATTTTATTTTGTCCAATTCCAAGTGAGAGAGACAAAGTCTTCAATGGATTGAAACCCCGCACACTTGATTAATATGCTAGGACAATCAAACCTCAATATATAATGTTTGATTGTTCCCGTCTTTCGGTTTTTTGGGGGGTGGAGGGCAACCAACTTATTTCGTTGCGGGATCTTCGGTTTCTTCGGTCTCCTCAGCCTCTTCAGTCTCTTCCTCTGGCGAAGCGCTCTCAGGCTCTTCCGCCGCAGATGTAGGTTTTTCGGCGAGCTTCATGGATGCCACATCTGGTGACCGTTAGGAAAGAGTTTTTAGTTTTGGAATAACAAAAGCCAAGCCTTGAGGTTTTAGTTCGAGGACAAAATGACTAACCAGAAACAACAGCGTTGATATCGACGCCTTTCGCAACTTCTTTCTCGCGTTCCAAAGCCTCAGCCCATCCTTCGTCAAATAAATCGGAATGTTCTTCAGGATTGGCGATTTTCATTGCGATCTTCGTTTTACCCGATTCCTCTAGGCTACCCTTCCACCGTTCAACCGCCTTGGGTACTTGACTAGGTGCATATGTCCTTGCAAATAACGCGGCTTCTGGTAAGCGTTCAGTCGATAGAAGAATATCTACACACTCCTCTGGGGCACCGAGCTGAAGTTGACATGAGAAGGCAATGTTATTCTGACCCGCGACGGCTGAGGAAGAGATAACCGTGATCAGTTGTTAACGAAACGTTTGTGCAACCACAAGTAGATGAGTGATCCAAACCAAAGTGGTCACGTACTAGCAAGGTGAGCCAATCGACTTAATCCATCACGATCACCGGTGGAAGAGTAAATTAGCAACAGAGCGCTCAAATCTCCTGCTTTAAGGAACGACTCTTCTGCCAATTCGATCTTCCAGCTAGCCAGAGCCTTTTCCGCAATTACTCTCCATTTACTTTGGGACTCTGGATAAGGTGCAGATTTGGTGATCTCCAAGGCGGTATCCAAGTCATCTAATTGAGTGGCTAGCTCGAATCGATGATCGATATCCGTCGATACCGACAGAGCCAACTCTTTCAAATCTTGACTTTCTAAAAATCTGGCGATCCGATTGCGCTGGTCTTGAGGCACTTTCTCTAATAGTCCGGCGGCCGAATCCAAGTCTCCATGCATGATTGCTGTCTGGTACTCAACTACCGACAGAGCGAGTGAAAATGAAAAGATCCCGCAATCCTTATCGCAGAGATAAATCCGGTTGTAGTTCGGGAGATAGCCCAGCAAGAACATTTGTTGATCGAAGTGACTGAGTGTATGAGTTTGCCCTCCAATAACGTAGTTCAAGCGGTTTGCCGTGTTGGTGTATATTAAACAATCTCCAACCCATTTTCCAGTCTGGACAACTTCAGGCAATTCATGCAAAAGGTCGAACGCTGATTCCACTCCCTCGTCTCCTAGTTCACCGCCCTCTGCCAAGAAGTCTGAGTATGCTTGTTGGTCAAACTTCAAAATGTACAGTGATTCTTCGCCGGCTATCGCCACATGTTCTCCTGATGCCGACCAAAACACATCCCGAGCTTCTACTTCGATCCTTCGAACCAGTGAACCCGATTCCCAATCGTAAAAGCAGACGAACCCGCTGCCCTTGACACACAACAGTGCTCCCCCGAAGAGACCCTCCATAGCATACCCCGTCCGGATAAGATCGACATTTTCCTTGAAGTTCTTGAAAACCTTCAATTTCATTGCAGTTTCTCTGACCGCATATGTATTTGAATCAGCTGCCCATGCGAAGCTGAGACCGGTACCGAACGCCTTATTTCGCCACGCCAGAGCCGTATAGATGATGTACTCGCCGTCTCCGCACACCGTCACAAATCGGCCATTCGGTGAATGCTGGAGCGTTTGAGCAAACACCTCGGTGGTTCCAAGCTCACGGACTTGTATGTTCAACTTCTGTCCATCAGGGATTTCAAGATCTACAAGCCCAAGTAATAATAAGTACCACATTATTCAACATAAGAGTTCATGTGAACAAGTTACCTTGAGCAGCTGCGACATTGCAAGTTAAGACTTCTGCGTTCCTGGTGAAGACTATTTTGCCACCAACGTCCATGCTGATGGTAGGTTCTTCTCGTCCGAGTTTGACTACCACCGAGCCTTCATCAAATCCCAAGCCAATATCGTTTCCCTTTTTGCCGTAAGTGACACACCAGGCTCGCTCCAATCCATAATTCAGAGTGTTTTCAAGTCGATAAGTTGAGGAATGCCAGATCTTGACTGTGCCATCTTCGGAGCCCGAAATAATGATTGGCAGCGAGGGGTGAAAAATAGCGTAGGAAACGTTGGATTGATGACCTTCTAGGGTTTGTATACAGGATTTAGAGAGATAGTCCCAAATTTTAATGAGCCTGTAGGTGAATAGTAAAGCATGAAAATGATAAGACAAATTTGTCAGTGCGATCTTTAATAAACGAGCGTAGAATTTGACGAGTAGTATTTTGATCTGGAAATGATGATGTTTCTGATTCAACAAATACATGCATGTGCATATGGTTGTCGAAATGCTTTGAAGGTTATACACTGGCTAAAATGTATGCCAGAATGCTCACCGATCATCCCCAGTAGTCACTAGATAAGGTTTGTCTCCACCATGATAGTATTCAACATAATTGACACCTTTCTCGTGTGCATCGAGGGTGAAGTTAGCAGTGTGAGATCCCAGCGACCAGACCTTCACAGTGCGATCTAGACAGGAGGATGCAAAAGTGTTGGAATCCTTCGGGTTAAACGCCAAATTCATGATGTAATGAGTGTGTCCTTCAAAAACCTGAAACAAAATTTCACGATATGTCATCAGTCAAGGTGAATGAAGTAAGATAGATGAAATGTGAGTGACAAAACCTGAAGGCATTTCCAGGATTTATCCCAATCCCATAGTTTGATCGTCATGTCATCACTCCCCGTCAAGACCAACGGCTGGGTAGGATGAACAGCCAAGCAACTGGAACATCAAGTATCAGTCAGCGCTGAACGCTAAGACTCTCTGACATCCATATAGAAAAAGAACAATCGCTAACCGGATGTAATCCGGATGGGCCTCAAATGCAGCGACACGGGCAGATGTGTTGTAATTGAATACGCGGAGATGGAAATCGTCTATATTCGATTTTAAATCAACGATTCTTCAGTGATGAGCCGCAGTATCAATGTAGTGTGATCGGGGAAATGTACCTGATCCACAAACAAACCAATTTTTGCGAGCAATAAAGCGAGCACATCGCACTGGAACCTCGGTGGGTGTGAATGTTTTTAAAAGTGCCTGTACAGATACATTAAACAATTAATTAGACCCAACACTCGAGTAATGATCTAAACCTAGAGGAAAGGATGGAAAAGAGACGAACGCCTGTCTCAGTGTGCCAGACAAAAACCTTTCCAGAGTATAGCCCAGCCAAGAGCCATGGTTCCGTGGGATGGAAGTCAACACTTTTCACACGTTCTGCAATAGTTAAGATCCAGAGGAGGCAATTCAGTCAGAGGACAAGCTGCACGATTGCACAAAAAGCGAATGCCGATCGAGAGCGAAGACCGACCAGAGCGTGTGAGAAGCTTTCGAGTGATATCTAGCAGCATTCCTGGATTATCGATGCGATGGGATCCGTGATTGCCTTAGCGATATGTTGAGGATGATAAACCTTGTGGGTGAGAAATCGGTCAGTACGTCAGTCAGCATAATTTCGATCGATCAGACCGGCTAAACCAAACGCAGGGACGCTGATGCATGACAGAACATTCCTATCTGGACTCACTGATAGGATGAACCTGAGTGTTCTTATCGGTTGCCGAGATGTTTGAAGAGGAAGAAGTTCGATCGGATGGGATGATGACGGTCAACAGGGAATGTGGTGGTACTCCGCTGGAACTGGTCGAGCGACCTACTGGTCCCCACGACGTAGTCAACGACAACAACACCACACACATCCCTGTCACACGTAAACAGGTGAAAGCTTCCCACAAAACTGTGACACACACCCGTAGATGCAACATGCGCATCAAATCAGCAACTCAAACAAAAAATATTGGTGCAACAGTGTGGAGGAGCCCATTTGGATACCAAATTGTTTTTATGAATCAGTGCCTTAAACAGAAAAGTTGAACTCATTAGGGGGGTTCACCATTGAGATTTACACAATTTTTAAAGCCCATTTTGAGGTGTTTCTGATCAAGAACTTTTTGGAAGATGAAAAAGTTGTTCTGATGGTTCAGAAACCCTAAAGTCTGTGCATCTTGTCAAAATTCTAAAATGTTGCTGATAAGGACCTTAAAATTGACTAGAAAGACTATACATTTCAATTGTGAACCCCCCTATTGAAAATTTTTTTATTCATCTTCATTTTCATTTTTATGAACAGGAAATTACTATTATTATGTTCAAGTGGAGCAATCTATCATGTCACTACATAAGCATTTTCCCCCAGAACATAGACTTTTCAAAACCCCTACTTTGAGCTCAGTTGTATGTATAGTTATTGTCAGATCCGCTCATAACTTGAGAGCTAATCACAATCAAAAGGAATAGCAAAAATCTATAGGAGAACTCAAATCCATTTCCTTTGTGAGATTTTCAGCTTTAAAAACCCCTTCCTAATTCCCCAAACAGACCTCAGATGTCAGGATCTTTCAGTGCTGCATGGTTCTTATTCCCACTCTAGGGTGAGAGTTGGAGAAGTGCTTTTTTTGTGTATGAATTGCCAGTACTCCTTCATATGTTCAATTTTACAAATCCATACATGTGCTTTTGAAAGATCCATACAATATGCTCATGCCAATGGATCATGATCAAGTTGGATGAAAATCTTAGGCATTTTCTTACAAATTGAATTACCTGGCTATGAGTTTCACTTTTTAGACATAAGAATAAACATGGTCCCCACATGTTTAGAGTCTGATGGCCCAAGTAGGAATGTGACTGTTGCATTCCAGGAAGCTATGTAGCTCAAAATCTGTGTACTGAACT